AAAATTGTCCTTGATTTGTAAAAAAAAAAAAAAACTAAAAAAAAACTAAAATCCTAGAAAAAAGTATTAGTTTACAGGTTGATTGTAAATAATATTCATATTAAAAATCAGTTTTCTTAACAGATAGTAATTTGTTTCTTTACAGTGTTAGACTATAAAATGATAGTTTTACTGTATTTGAACGTTACAGTATTCACCATTTATTAAACATTTTTTATAGCGCCCCTGATGCCAGATTTTACATGTTTTATTTCTTCAATTTAAAAAATAATAATAATAAGAGAAATAATTTTACAAAGTTGTGCTGATGAAGAATATTGGCATTAAATCAACTTCAATGTGACATTAAACATAAATTAATGGATGCAATTAAAAGAATCAATCAATTTAAACAGAAATAATTTTTTTAAAATCCTCATCATTCCCGACAACCCACCCTAAAAATAAACTCCGTATCTCCACCCACAGAATCTAGAAATGATTGAAATACCAAATATGATAATAAAAAATCATTGAAATTTTTTTTTTTTAAAAATCATTAATTAATTTATAGATGAAAAGAAGGAATATGTCCAGCAGGTTCAGTCATAAACATGTTGACGTAGTACAAGACGAGTCACAATCAACAGACTGCTGATAAACTATTTATTAAGCCTGTCATGAACTCACTAACAGAATGGACACAAATGCTTGACTCAGTAGGTTCAGGCAAAAGACAGGTTTAATGGCAGTCAGGGTTCGGTACACAGGAAATCAGTCCAACAGGGTCGAGATCAAACAGACTGTGACTTCACTTGATTAACGCTGGTACGAGGACTGTGAAGTGCAATGATCTGGTGACGAGACAGTGAGACACACAGGGTAATATACACCAGGTAGTGAGGGTAGATGGGAAACAGGTGTGGGGAGGTAATCAGGGGGCAGGTGAGACAAGACAGGTACAGGAAGTAAAGCTAGAACAGAACACCCAGTGAAATGATTTCAAAATAAAACAGGAAAGATGAGACATAATGTGCAGACATGAACAGAAACTTGACAGACACGACAAAGCCGACCTCTGACCTTTGAGTTTCTCTGGTTTTCCAGAGAACCTGCTGTGGCAGAAGTGGGAAGTCAAAGGAGAATCACCTGCAGCCTGCAGTGGACAAACACTGACCGCACATCACGACAAGGTTCACACACATGATACATGAATTCATTTAAACCTGTAATACATGAATGAACCGGACAGCTGAGATGCAAGATGTAGTTGTGGCCTCCCTACAGGTGAGGACAGCCAACACACAGATAAATATAATCAGAGCTATAATTGGATATATGTATCGTTGAACAATCATTTGTCTGTATGTGTTCAAACAATACGAGCATTTCCAGAAATAGTTTCCCTCATAGAAGCCTTTTTTCACCTCTGTCTAGTTGCACAAATACAACTTCAATTTAGTGAAGGTTTAAGATCAAGTCGATGACTTCCAGTGTTACTATAACAATGATAACGAGTGTGACGGGTCGTGCTCGGTGACTGTGAGGGCAGATCCACACGAAGGGGGAGACAGGAGAAGGTTTTAGTAAAACAGTTTTATTTTACATGAGGGGGAAAAGGGGGTTAACCCGGTGATGGGATCCGGTGCAGGGATGAAAACCGTGGAGGGTGAGGAGTGGAGTCTTCGTGCCGGGGTCCGAGGAAGAGGGTCCCAGGGGTGGTGTACGAGGAGCCGGTGCCCGTGAGTGCCGAGGTCCGTGGGGGTTTTTCCCGGTGCGAGGAGGGAACCGTGAAGAAGGAAACCAGGGTGGTGCGCAGGGGTCCGGTGCTCGTAGGTGGTGCTCTCGTGAGGGGTTCTCCTGATGAAGGTGGTCGTGAAGTCCCGTGGATGAAAAACACTGGAGTGCCTGGAGGAGTGCTGAGTGCTGGAGCCGAGGAGGAACACTGGAAGTAGTCCAAAAACATATACAATTAACCCGAGACTAGAGAATATCAAAATACTAGAGATGCTCAGCTAGCGGCCTGAAAATACCACAAGGTAGGTATCACAATCATCTGGCGTCGATCTTCTGTGAAACGTCAGTATTTAAGCAGAGTGAGGCTGATGAGCCGATGAGCCACAGCTGCCAGCAAACCAGTGTCCCTCCTGATCGGCTCCGCCCAGCCTGCAGCAAACAGACACACAAACACCACAACACAGAGACAGAACAATCCCAAAAACACAACAAATAATTCACAGCCCTCACAACGAGGCTGTGAATGTTGGGAGTAGTTATGGTTAAAAAAAAAACAAATGGTGAAATTTGCTTTGAAATGACATTTTTGAACCCGTCCGTCCGCCCCAACCTCCTCCCTGCATGGACGTTGTGGATTTATAATCACGTCGCCTCACATCTCGTCCTGAACACCACTGGAGGTGCACAAACAACTTCCGGAGACTTTTTTTTTTTATTATTGGAATAAATCCTCACGTATGTTGCGTGTCTGGTTTATTTGAACATTGTTGTTTTGATCAAGCTGCACATCCGTCAGCTCCACCGACGCAGTGCTGGTATTAAAGCAGCAGCTCATTCATAAAGGTTCAGGGTCTTTTTATTTAAAATCTCAATCCTAAAATTACAGCTGATTAAAATATTATTTTTGCCGCAACCACACACAAAAAATTGAGAAGAACTGATCGAGACAAGAGCATAAAAACATCTAAATCCATTTATTATTTTGCAGATAAAACACTGCAATAGATCAAGCGACACTGAATGAGACATCCTTCAGTTTGAGCAGGAGATGTTCTTTTGATTCATTAATCCTTTATGCAGGACATCTACCTGTTTGGAGGCAAAAGCACGGATGAGGACGGCTCGTCGACGTCGTACAACGAAATCCACAAACTCAGCATCGGTGAGTGAGACGCTGCAGATTCACAACTGAAGCTGAGCCATGATTCGTATTTCATGCTTCACGCCGTGTCCTTCCAGCTAAGATGAAGTGGAAGGTTCCTCTGTACGTCGGGATTCCTCCGACCCGTCGCCATGGTCACACCGCCTTCATCCTCCACAGCCACGTCAGCACGCAGCCCAACATTCTCATACGTGTTTGTCCTCGTTTGTGTCTCGTTATCTGAAACGTATTTCGTGTCTGTAGCTGTACGTGTTTGGAGGGAAGAACGAAGAGCAGGATTTTAATGACCTGAAGGTGATGAAGCTCATTAATCCCTCTGAGAGACAACCAGGTAGAGTTCATTCTGTTCCATTACTGGGGTCCGAGCACACCAGTGCCAGGACCCTGTTGTAACTCTTGTGATTCTTCTTCTTATTGTTGTGGTACGCCATCTTTGAACGCATTTTTGAGAGCCTAAACGTGCTCAAAATCGCCACGCACAGCAGGACTGGTGAGAATCAGAAACTATCAGAGACGTGGACATGTCACTGCCAAAATGGCTCCACAGCGCCACCTCGAAAATTTCAATGGAGTCCCATCGGAAGCACGTCTGATCGAGAGCTGCACAACTTGGTCGGCATATAGAGCAGGTCAGGATGAACCAAAGAGTCCCCAGCGCCAAGCCCTAAAATGCAACACAGCTCAACTATGCTCCCTACAATATTTCAACAGAGTCCCATCGCGGCTACTTTTAACCTACAACTACAAAATTCACCACACATATGTAACAACTCATGACGCACAAAAAAGTCCATTAGCGTGTTTCTGTAAACCCAACAGGAAATCCGCCATGTTGGAAAAACGGAGAGCATGCCGGGCCATTTTTGGCCATTTTCAAAATCTATCTCCTCCTACGTCGTACACACCTGAAATTTAGTGAGCACAAACTACAGGACGTAGTGATTAAAAGTTATTAAAATGCTCCGCAAAAGTCTGATGGTTTGGAAATGGTGGCCTGCGCAATTTCGCTCAATGGCCATTTTGTCCATTTTCGCTGTGTTTTTGGCATTCAATGGAGTCCTGTTGGAAGGCCGTTTCACCAACAGCTACAAGATTCGCTGGGCATGTGTAGTAGGTCAGGACGCACAAAAAAGGCAGCTTCAGGGCTTCTTGCGTCTCTACAGGCTTTGCACACATGGATTTTAAACTTTAGTTCATCTCATTCTCCCTGACAGATCCTCTCAAGCTCTGTCAGAATGAACGGGAAGTGTTTTAAACTGTCATCTTCAGGTCTCTGTGTACGTAGGGTCTGTGCTTTAGTTGAAGCCACTCCAGTGTTGTCTTGGCTGTTTACTTTGGCCCTCGGTATGAGATTGCTGCATCACTTAGCAAACTGTCTTCAAGAAACCTCTCTAAAACTGACTGAAACCATGGCATGATGCTGCCACCTCCATGCTTCAGTGTAGGAGTGGTGCTAGCAGGTCATCAGTCGTCTTCCTGTTAATAAAGAGTTGCGACCATCTAAAGTTCTGCAGGGATATTTTCAAAATATGCAATCACTGTTTGAGTTTTGGTCATCGTCCTGACCAAAAACTTTCTTTCTTGCTTCAGGAAGAGTCCCGGTGGTTCTGAATTTCTTCCATGTCGTAATTATTGAGGCCATTGTTCTCCTTGGAGAACTGAAAGCTTTAGAAATGGTCTAACACCCTGTATCGTTCTAAACTATGTACAATCCATTCAACTTCTCATAGATGGACTCGAGTTGAGTTCTAGATGCACCTCGAGGATATTTAAAGAGAACAGGATGCATCAGACCACAACTTGCAGCTACAGAAGAGTCTGAATGCTTTTGTAAATGAGGGAGTAAAGTTTTAAATGTGTAGAAACTTGCATAAAACTGTTTTCAGCATTGCTTTTGGGGGATATTGGGTGTTGATTGAAGGGACAAAATCCTCAAATGCATCGAAAACACAATGAGTTTAAAGTTCTGAGTACTTTCTGGAAACACTTTATCCTCACAATCTGCCCACTTGATTTCCTCTTCTTGTGCACAAGAATAGTTTCACCACAAAGCTATTCACGGTCTTACACTCTGTAGTGTGCATGACGTAGGTGGATGTCAGAAGACTGAAAACAACTGAACCAACTTTATCTCCACAGTCATGAAGGAGATTCTGTCAGAGTTTGGTCTGCAGGGCGTCAGCCACAGGTCAGCAGCTGCTCCACACACCTGGCTTTCCTTTTTTTATATCTGTGTTTGAGCAGTTTCAGACTCTTGTCATGCTCTGCTTGAGTCTCATCTCTCAGTTTTGACGCTCTGGTTTCATTCTGGTTTTGACGGTTAACAGTTTCACTCCCACGAAGGTTCCCAACGTTCGCTATGAGCTCAGCGACTCGGCTCCGTCCAACCAACCGAAGAACACTGCAGCCAACGCACAGGTCAACGCTAAACACACACACACACGTCAGTTTAGTACGGCATTACTGACATTCAAGTTAGTTTCAAATAATGCACAAAAGTGAGGCTGCTGAGTTAAAGGTAGAGAACCATCAGGGGTGAAGCCCCAGTTAGTCTCATATCTTATATTTCCTGCTGCAGGTGTTTGTCCACAGAGACTTCAGTGCAGTCCGAGATCAGGCCATGAAAATGATCCAGACAGCCTTCACTCTGCTGGACCAGGAGTTCCAGAAGCTGGACCGGTACCTGTTCATGTTTACTGACCTTTGGTTCATTTGTTGTACATCTTTACATCTGACCACATGTCTAGGAAAGTGTCGACACCACTGGTAGCAGAGATCTAAAAACATCTACACAACCACCAACCCTGTACCGATGGTTTTAAGGCTAAATGTCTTTCCTCCAGAGAGAAGTCGGAGTTGTCTAAAGCTGCTGCAGCTCTGCAGAGAGACAAGGCAGCTCACGACGCTCACAGAGAACAACAGCAACAGGTTTACTGTCGTCTCAATACACTGATGCTAACATGTTAGCATGAAGAGCACGATCATACCAAACCAAGAAAATGAACAAATTCACAAATAAATACGACGCATGTATGTTTGTTGTTCAGGAGCTGCAGGAGATGCTGGACAGGCATCGCTCTCAGAATGAGGCTTGGCTTCGCGCGAGAGCTGAAGAAAACGATCGAGAGAGGAGGGAGCTCTGCAGACTCCGAGTCAGTGAACACATGCTCATTCATTTTAACCCTCTGAACCCCCAAAACCTGTCGACATGTTCAAAAGGCATGCTGGAATTATACTCTTTACCTGAGCCAGAGCCTGAGTGTCAGATTTTCAACTTCCTGTTTTTTCTTGAACCTGTCCGGTTCCATCGGCAAAAACAACCAAATCTGAGCTTAAAATTTGGATATTTTTACCAAAATCCAGATATTCTATACGTTTTATTTTTAAAAAATCATCCAAAATGAACTAAAATAACAACAAAACAAAGTAAATCTGTGCTCTTTAACACACCTGAGAAGGCAGTAGGGCCTCGGCTGTGACCAAGAGTCACACGACGAAAATTTTAGGTTGAACTGCAGGCAGTGTTTCCACAGAGCAGAGACTGATATGAAATAAATCATGTTTTATACATGGATCCAAAATGGCGTACAGTGGAGCAGGAGGTCAGCAAGTTGTGAAGAGATGCATTCAGAATCCTAGAATGGATGAACAGAGGAGAGAGAAAAATACCGGGTTGGTGGAAGTAAAATACCGACAGGATGTGGAGCCACCATTTCTCAAAGTATTGGTAGCACCAGTGGGCTCTTGGGGGAACGTTGTGCCAATTGAGTCCAGTTCATTGTCGTAAAATGAAAAAGAAATCCAACTTCGGCTTGTGGATTTCGTTCGGCTTTTTTGTGGCATATATTTCTAGATGAGCTGTTTCGATGCAGGTTTGTCTTGCAGTGAAAGAGTTGAACACAGTGAGTGAAAACAGCCAGAACCTGCTGCTCGGGGTTCTGAGGGTTAAAGGAAAAAAGCATTCAGCCTCCTTATTATGTAGCGCTCAGTACATGTGTGTGGTCGCTGAATGTATTATAAGAGATTCAAACATGGCACCTGCTTACCTGAACGAAAAGATTTGAAAGACAAACGAACGGCGGCGCTTATTTGCTGATGACTCGGTGCTGCAGACTTCACATTGGCGTGGATTGATGTTAAATGTGCGATGGTCCATCTGTTTCCTCAGGAGGAGGTGCTGCAGGAGCAGGAGAGGCTGAAGGAGGAGCAGAGCAGCATCCAGAAACGCAGCGAACATCTGCTCTCCATCATGCAGCAGTTCAAGGGAATGTAGATGGTTGGTGTTTACCTCGACTGTCCGCTATGTTTCATCTGAAAGTGGACATCATTAGACTTTTGGAAAAGGAAAACTCTCGAGCAGTTCCTGTGTTTCACTCAATAAACGTATATTT